AGAGTCCCTACTTCAGTACTTGAAATTGATTGTTAACTGCTTTTGGTGGTAGTTAGGTTTTTATTATTGTACAAACTCGATTCCTGTCACAATGACGTATACAGAAGAGGTACAAATGCGAACAAAGAAATCAATGTTCGAATTTAAAATTTATGATTTTCGTACGTCTACCTTTTCTTTTACTAAAATGGTCATTCAATTAATAAAAGCGTAGATTGGTCGTCACATGACTAATGAAAATGTACATTTCTTGTCACTTAACGAATCTAAACTTGTAAATTTTTTTTTGGGTCAAAAGTATCATATTTTTATTATTAATTAAGTGACTGAAAAAAAAAGAGTTTAGTGATCAAAATATGCTAGTATTTGAAATTCCATTTGCACAATTTTCTCAATTCTAGTTTTTGTGATTGATATCGCAAGAACTTGCTAGTATTTATTTTAATGAACCTCATGGTGGATTTGGGGCTTGAAAACAGAAATTATGGCTGATGGATATAAGAGGCCCAAAAGTTAAGCCCTCATGTCTCCCTTCAGGGTCGGCAAACGAGTGAACGACGCCTGTCTGATGAATAACAAGTTAACCAGCTAGGGATCGGCACTAGTGTATACTAACTTCTTAGGGCTGTATATTACCAAATGTTAAAAATTTCAAATTCATAATTAATAACTTATATATTACCTCCTTGATCACGTATGCTCTGCAAGACATCCTGAGCATTCATATACATGTGGGGCAACACACTGAAGACCTTAATATGAGAATCGGCATCACAGTAACAAATGCAATGAACCAGCTTGGTGAAGGGTGGATGCTTAGAGAAAGAAGTACTGGATCGCCTGTGCTGGGTGGCAATACAACTGGCTCTTTGTAAGCTAAAGGAACGGGACTTGCAAAACATACAGGTTCATATTTCATGCAACCAGATTTTAAAGATGATACGCTGCCAAAGCCCAAGCAACATCCTTATAGCAGGGCCATCTCGAATGCATCAATGATCTCAGCTTAATGTTTAGGACATGCTCATTTGTTTGCCAGCCTAGTAATGTTAGTACTAATACACTCAGTTATCAACTGAGTAAGCAAGCAATGCACATCTATTTTGATGAGGAGTTCGTTGATTTTCGGTGTTTTAGTACACTTTTGTAAACCAAAACTTGAGCCCTTGCTCATAAATTGTATTTTCTCTATTAGTAGAAATATATTAATCTATCGTTTCTGGAAAAAAAAAAAAAAAAGATCACGTATGCTCTGCATGCATAAACACAACATCATCCTCAATTACTCCTCATGTGGAATTGGGACAAATAGAGTTGAGATTGGGTGCAGTTGTTATATTTCTTTGAAAATGTGGTCTGAAAGTTGAGATCGCACTTTATATAAATGCATCCTTTTTATAATCTGATGTTTAAGTTTGATTGCATTTAAATTTGGCTTGCCTACGCTACAAATTCAAATTGACTCGGGTTGAATTTTTATCAAGTCACGTTCAAACGGCACTTGAGTAATAATTTTATCCACTTATCAAGCCATCATTAATACCTGAGTGCTTGAATCATTCATAAATTGATAGCAGAAAGAAAAAAAAAATGGAGGGTTGGAGCGTTTGTAAGCAAGAATCATCTGCTTCTCTTTTAATCCATTTCTCAGTAGCCCAAGAATTTTGGAGTCTCTAACGTCTATGACAAGCCATTGTCAAAGGAATGACAGGGTCCGAGTACGAACCATCCACAATTCTATCGAAAACCCACTTATTAGCGGCCTGAGTATAGTGCACCCCGTCCCAATTGATCATCACCGATGGATCTTTACATGATCTTGCGATCATAATCTCTTTGCCCTTTACCTTAATTTTGCTTCCGCAACCGAAAAATTAGTTCTACGGCAAATGTGAGATCTAATTTATTTTTATTATTTCATTTACTTGTTTATAAATTTCCTGCATTATGTGTGTAATGATTACTGTGTGCGATTAAATAGGTGTACAATATCTGATTATTCACAATCATCTATTGCCAATTGAGACAATTAAATCTGTAATTATTTGACTATTTTAATATATGTGGCAACTAGTATAATTGGAGTTGTGTCAAGGAAATATATATCTAATTTAAATCCTATGGTCATATCTAAGTTTTCTTCTAACAAGGAAAGTTGTTAACGGTTTGTACTTGGCTACCAACAAAGTAAGAAAAGGTCAGTTATATATTAGAGTTTGTTGATAACTATGATCAATTCATACATGAATATTTGAATTTATCTTTGTATCAAGAATCAATTGCAAGAACCATTTTTGATATTATTTCTTTGGCTAGAGCTCCATTATCGTTAATTTAATCTTAGTCAATTTTTGTATGTTTAATTTGTGTTTAAATTAATTAGTTAGTTTAATCTCTAAAATCCTCTCTTTTATTCATTGTTTTGGAAGGAAATAAATCAGTCCAATTCCGGTAGAGATTATCCTAGTTACCGCACCGCATACAAAACGATTATTTTTTAGAGTAGATACTTTTTATTTTCAATTGGCCCACAACCTGTCAATGTGTTCCATCATTCTCGTAAGAAAAAGCTAGTCTAAACAACGTAACAACCATGCAGTTACCATCTTCCTAGGCCATTGCCAAGGGGCTAATATCCTCTCCGTTGTTCTCTCCACTTGTTTATATCTAAAATTTTATAACTCCATAAATTCATTTGTTTTCTCTAAAATTTAGATATTTTATCTCCCGCTCCTTATGTCATCTGAAACGTATTGCGTGGAATTCAAAAATAGAAGATTAAAAATATCCATACAATCATATCGCCTTTAAAGCTCTTTGGAGAATCAATTATTTAACTAACGTCCTTTCCAGCAATTAGCTCAAGCAGCAGGAAAAACCAAGTTGCAGACATCCTTCTTAAAGGAACCCAAGTCCCATACTTCATTCTTTGCAAAAATTCTCCAACTTGAAGAAGTAAAATATGATTCTGAAAATTTAGCAAATCTCAAAGTTGGAGATCCTGGATTCAAAACTTCAACCAATTCTATGACGGAGTACTACTCTATCCTAGAGCTGTTAAATGAACCAAGCTGTTCGTTAGCTCGGTTCGTTTCGGCTCGTTCGTATTCGTTAAAGGCTCGTTCGAAAGCCTTAAACGAACGAACACGAACGAATTTTTGTGTTCGTTTAATAATCGAGCGAACACGAACATGTTCGCGAATTTTAATGAGCGTTCGTGAACAAGAACATAATTGTCATTTGACAAATTTTAGGGTTACTCATAAGAAATTCTAAAACTTTTCCCTTCCCTTTCCAACCTTACTTTTGTTTTCCTTCCCCATTGGCTGCTGCTGAAAATTTGTACTTGTCTTATGGCTGAATTTTTATATTTGAAGGACAAATTACTTTGTTTTATTTGTTGTTTTATGTTAATGTTGGTTATGCAGTTATTGAATAATGGAATTTAGTCATTTAGTATTTTAATTATTTTTTAGAATGATTAATGATTTGTGTGGCATATTTAAGGCCTAGAATAATCTGGATTCGAACTTTTCGAGCTTGTTCGTGAACGGCTCGTTTATGTTAAACGAGCCGAACACGAACACAGATTTAGAGTTCGAAAGCTAACGAACGAACACGAACGGAGTTCGAATCGCTTAACGAACAGAGCTCAAACATGAGATACTCGGTTCGTTTCGATTCGTTTACAGCTCTACTCTATCTTGATGAAGCCACGCAATACCTTTTGCGATCCCAATTGCAACCTGTTTTGAGCAGAACAGAGAAGATCATAGAGGTTTCATTTTGGTATGAATTTGTAGATCAAAAGTATGTTATTAATTCCCAAATTGGGCCGTCTTATTCTTCCAAGAATCATGAGTTCAAACATAAATTGTTAATCAATTCTGTCAAAATGATGGAGTTTCAACCTCAAATAGAAAAAAGATGAAAAAAGATAACAGAGTTTCTTGAGAGCAAAAAGCCAATCATTTTGCAGTAGTATCTTCGTACACTGTCCCAATTCAGCAAATTCACACATGTTTGAAAAGAAATAACACAAAACCATTACTAAATTCAGCAAAACGAAATTACACAAAATACGCGAATAGCAAATTATCTGAATAGCAATTATGCTTCCGTGCATATTGATAAAATGGTGTGCAATGTACAAGCCTCCGATCCTTTCAACTAAAGCACCAAAGAAAGCCACAGACCCCACAGATAACCAATTACAGTTTCAAGAGGAAAAAATACTGTAGCAGTCCCTCCCTGGTGATATCATCAACAAAAATTAGAGCAATAACTAGTCGTTTGTTCATCAATATCATTAAAAAAAATGAAAAAAGAGAGTAACAATTAGTTGTTTTTTCATCAATTTCAATGTTCTCGTGCATGCATTACAGGCAACTAAAGTACAAAAAAGCTACCAAAAGGCATATATAAATTAAACTTTTTTAAAAGAAAAAACATGTGATTATTTCTACAAGCCAATTGATGGTGATGACAACAAAAAAAATTTTACCAGCTGATGTCCTTCAATCTATGATGATGATCTTCAGATTCTCATTTCCATAATTTTTCTGTGCTTCTTCAATTTTCCGTACTAAAGATTCGACACCATTTCCACATAAACTCACCTGAATTGTTTCAAGAGTAGATAAACGCCCTAAACAAGAAGGCATCATTTCCAATTTAGAAATTCCGTGGATTTTTAATTGCTGAAGACACGGGAAGTAATCATCACTGTCAGGGTCTGCCTCTGTCCACTCCACAACCTTTACAAATTCCAAAGTCAAGACCCTGAGTTTAGGAAATCCTCCCTCCATCAGCTCCCATTTTTGGCCGTCCATTGCCTGGTCACTTAATTTAAGGACTTCAAGATTGGGTAGTTGTTCAATCAATGACATTTTTCTACGGGGAAGACTCACACGGGAAAGACACAACCTTTTCAAACTCATGGGAAAGGAAAGCTCAACATGTTCCCGCGAACCTGGGAAAACGTAGCCCCTTAAGGTGAGTGACTCTAGGCATTCTAGTCGACTCATGTTGCAGCATACTCTGTTTTGTTTCCCACAATCGACAATTTTAAGTCGGCGAACGTTGGGAATCCTTCTCAATATGTTCTCTCCCTCTTTATCAAGATAAAGACAGAGAGTAGAGAGTGTGTCTAAATTGGGTAAAGTAGAGAGGTTTTCAACAACGTTGCCGTTGGAAGATAGAAAAATAACAACGCCACTCCATGCATCTACATGCCTCAACTTCTTCATGTTCCAGATGCTATCTGGCAATGAAACCCTCCGGTAAGAATTTAGCTAGAAGGTTTCCAAATGTGAGAGCTTGGCTATAGATGGTCGAATGAATTCCATGCGCTCTGCTCTAAGGGATAAGTACCTCAAACGAAGAAGTGATTCAACTTCAGCTGGAAGCTCCTTCAGCATTAGGTTAATGCCCTCTAAATTCAAAACTTTAAGTTGTTTGTAGATGCGAAAAAGGAAGGAGATGTTACGCAACTCAAACTTAATATATCCTGGAGTAGCATCAAAGAGTAGCAGAGTACCTAAATATGGACAAAATAGCTTTGACTTTATAAAATCTTCTCCACTGGAGCAAATGGACAACCGAGGCAGGTTGGGAGGCTCAATAAAGGTAGAAATCTCATCATATCCTCGCAGGACCCGAAGGAATTTCTTTTCTTTCGCCTCGCCCTTACAGAACTCAAATATCAAATCGTGAATGTAACAAGTTTTGACTCCACCAATGGATCTGCTTTTACTTACCATAACTAAGTTTCGACCAATTAGGTCCATCAGATATTCTTCTGCAATGACCTCTGATCTCTTTCCTTCAATTTTTTCCACAAATCCTTCTGCAATCCAGAGACGCATCAAATTCTTGGCACCAATTTTTTCATCTTCTCGAAATGCAACAAAATACAGCAAGCATGCCTTCAAGTGATATGGTAAATGCTCATAACTGAGCTCCAATGACTTCTTGCACTGGTCTGTACTAGACACAATGGTCAAAGTTAAACTTTCAGCAAATTCTTCCCAAACCATAATACCATGCTCTTTAGTTGCTAGGACTCCAGCTACAACAACAATTGCAAGTGGCAATCCCTTGCACTTTTTGGCAATCTCCATTCCCAATCCATGCAATGCTTGAGGACAATCTCCTTTTCCAAATACCTTCTTCAGCAGTAATTCAAAACTTTCTTTCTCACTGAGTGGGCGAAGATTGTGAGATTTCCCTCCATATTCAACCTGTGAAGCCACATTAGAAGATCGACTCGTGAAGATGATTCTACTTCCTTTCTTGTCATCAGGGAATGAAATTCTCAGCTCATTCCATACCTTAATGTCCCAGACATCATAAAAAACAACAAGATACCGATTCTCCTTTAGCTTTTGGTAGAGCTTTTCAAGCAACACATGTTCATCCAGATTTTTTAACTCATCATCCATCCTGGAATGTTTGCCTTCAGAGCACAAAATTTGAAGTAAGACATTTTTCATGTTAAAGGCTTGAGAAAGAGTACACCAAAGACGAATCTGGAAGTTATAGATAATTGAACTATCATTGTAAACCTTTTTGGCTAAAGTTGTTTTACCAAGCCCAGCCATTCCCACAATGGGAACAATTTTCACCTGTTTTGATCCGCTTACAAGTCGTTCAATTACTTTTTCTACCTCATCATCAAGACCAACCATGACTTCATGGGGTATTGGCATTTTTCCTTTTGATAGCACGCGGCTGGAAGTCTTGCTAACTTCTGGTACTCTGAAGCTATGAAAGGAAGGAATTCTTTCAATAATGCTTGAGCCACTGATCTGATCCTTAAAATGCTTGATATGGATGTTGGTATTAGCCAGCATATCATAACAGTCAAGGGCCTCTGTGGATTCTGAGAGACTAACTTCTTCTTCCACTCTGTTTAGAGAAGACGAGCAAACTATAATGGCTGCCTCACTGAGAAGAGCACCAATTTTTTCATTATGTTCATCCATCTTCTCCTGCTGCTCCCTTAAAATGCTTCTCAAGAACTTCAGTCCTGCATAGAGCATTCGCATTTCGTCTTTCAAGGAATCCATAAAGCTAGAGCTGCAGCATAACTGCTCCCAAAGACAACTTATCAGAGAATCATTTAAGTTGTTCAATATCTGCTTATCCATCATTCTATTATGCAATGATTTTGAGGATCTTGTAGCTCTAAGAACATCCATATAAATCTCATAGACTTGAAAATCAATAGGTGTGATTTTCTGTTGTTGCTCATATATCATGGAGCAGAACTCAGGTTTGTGCAGTTCCTCATCTTCCCAAAAGGAACACATGTAAGAGAGGCGTGCTGCGTTCAAAGCCACCACTTCAAAGTGAGCCAACAGCAGGGCAGGAATATCTGCAGTTCCTCGCAATTTGGCAAATGGAATGAAGCTTTTCAAGAATGTTAGCTTGGCTTCAAGGGCTTGTACTTGAGCACTCAAAGCAGCAGAAATAGATGATTCACTAATTTTCCCATCCATATAGCCATTTGTCAAATCTGCTAGATTTTGTAGGATGAGGTCTATGAATTCCATTAGTTCATCATCCGTCATACAAGAATTTGATTGCAATGACCTGCTGCTTGCCATAGCAAAGTAAATTTGGATGATTTCTTGCTTAAGTAACTCGATCTGTTTCTCAATTTCGGGGAACACTCCACGATTAACAATAGAATAGTGATCTTTATCCGTTTTTGATATAAGGGAAAGGGAGTGAATGTCCTCCTCGTATTTGTGAAAGGTATCTTCAACGCAAGATAAGAAAGATGGAAGAATCACCTTCTTTGCTACATCGTCAGATTGCAAGTACAAATCATTGCTTTGGCTCCACTTTCTTGCATGCATAAGAAATGTTTTGAGAAATTTCATGCGTTTGATTGCATCACGAACACAAGGAGCAATGTAAGTAGCATACCGGCTTCGGACGATGTTCAGGAGCAGCAACTCTAGATCAAGTAAGACCCGATCGATGCTGCAAGTGGAGACCATCTCCATCTCTTATGCAGGGATTTTCGTCTCAAATTTTAAGAGAGAAGCAAATCTCACTAATTGCAGAGCCAGCAAGCATTTCTTTCCTGAAAATTACTTCTTTGCTTTTCTTCTTCTGAAGAGTATTGAGATAATCAATTATTCAACCAGGTGGAATTGGCATCAAGGTGGACCCCGGACATTGATAATACTACAATTTTGTCATTTTAGCAAAAGTTAGTGTAAAAATAAATCGTGGGTCATTAGCAATATTATTTGCTCATGTCTAATTACAAAAGGAAGTTGATAAAATTAGTTGACTCTGTTATCAACATTTTAATGGGGAAATTTGATATGGCGGCAATCTCTCATGATTACAGAGAAATGCATTCTTGAAACATTTTCTGTTGTGGTCATTTCGATAACTAATGTTGTTTTTGGTTTGTATTACAAATATGAATATGTATTAGTTTCCCTAGTCATTACAAGCACATTAATTGGAGTTGATCAAAATTTTGTACGCTTTCAAACAGAGTAAGAAACAAAAGATCAGCAAGGTAAAAGAGAAAATGTTGGAATTATCATAAAGACATCTTGTGTTCAGCAGAGCAAAGAAGTTTTCATTGACAAGTTTATTATTTTTGGACTATTTCATACTCATGCTGGGGTTGAGAAGGCGCACTCTGGTTTTTTCCATTAGCAAAGGGTTCCTGCACCTATACTGCAAAAGCTTAAAAATTTAACCAATTGCTCAATTAGACTTGTTTTATCATAATTAGGCCTGCCACTCAAGTCATGTGAGTCGGGCTTTCATAAATTCAATTTTAACTCATTTAATTTGTAACACTTTTGAATTTTGGGTCGTGACTTTCGAATTAATAAATGTGATGATCATACTCAACTCATAAAATATTCGGATTTTGAGTCTTATTGGGGCTTAGTTCAAGCTCAGTTATTGCTCCTTAATTTTCTTAATATAATTACTATAACTATTAAGTTATAAAACTAATTTAATATTCACAGGACTATAACATTAAAACTAAACATAAACAAGTAATAAATCTTAAAAAGTACATAAAAAAAAATTTCAACAGTATTTATATCTAATACGTTCAAAGTATATGAAAAATACTAATAAAGCATGCGGTCATAAGTCAATACATTTTCAAAAGTTGGAACTTCTTCGTACCTTTGTGACTTGAATCAAAACATGCTTGATGATTTATGTTTCTAAACCAAAAGAAATCAACCAAAAATTTTGCTCAACCAATAAGAAAAGTTAGAGTTTCAGTTATGTAATATCAATATTGGCTCTCAAGAAAGTTAGTAGAGAAATTTTCAAATGTATTTTTGTAATGATCCCACATCGGCTAGGGAGGAAGTTCTGGGCTGTTTTAATAACCTGTCGTGGTGTCCCCCACCTGACCGAGGCTTTTTGGTGAGGCATTAGTCTGTTGTGTTATCCAATACCGCCAGGAACAAAACCCACGGCCCCACGGGATGGCTAACTGTGGGACAATATCGGCTAGAGGTGTTTGAATTTTTGTGTTTTGTAATTTGTATATATTTGGATATATAATTATGTTATATGCATATCATTATATATATAGCTAATTTAAGGGCCGAGCCTATGTTGGATTTGAGCCTAATGAGCCCCAAACTTGACTCATATTTAATTCGAGTATAATTTTTAGACTCATATTTAATTCGAGTATAATTTTTAGACTCAAACTCAGATCGGTTCAGTGAAAGGTCAGATTCATCGATCTTTTTTTGGACCTAACAAGTCGACCTCGGGCTAGCATGGCTCCATTGACAGTCCTAATAATAATAAATATAAACACTAAGATAATAAATATAAAGAGAAAAATGATAACGTTCAAAATTAATGAGTGCATCGATGTTACCAATATACAATGGTCAAAGAAAATGATTGGATTAAAGAAGTAAAAAATTCTACTAATTAGTAGCAGTACTTCTTTCCAAGAGTCAAGACTTAAATGCAGGCTAATTATTTATACTAATTTATATACTTGTATTATAGTCATATTTTTCAATTACCTTTTTATCTCATATATATTATATCAAAAAAGTGATACACAATTTTTATAAAAAAATATTATTCGAAATAATCTCCTAACCAGACACAAGTACATGCCCATTTCAGTGTTACTTGGGCCATTGGAAATTAATTGAAAGTCTTCTCCTTAGTCGTTCTTCAACATTGAGGGTGTCCATTCGGAAAATGAGAGAGAAGGGGACTAGTTCTTCTTCGGGTCAAGCACGGCTAGAGAACCCCCCCTTTCCTTGATTTGTAACACAGGGTTCGTGGGTAAGGCATACCCCTATATTTAAATGTTTGACATCAATTCTTATTATTCACATAGAAAACTTCCACGAGTTGATTGGGAATTATGTTTTGTCTGATAATTCAATTCAACACTTAAATTTGATAGATTCAGATCTTAATATGTTCAAATGCATTTGATAACAAAAAATTAACATTTGAATTAATTATGTAGCATTGAATTTTCTTGATAAAATTTACTCTAAAAAATAAGTGATAACCTATTCATTTTGCATTAACACTATTTGTGACATGTATTCAAATATATCAAATTTAATATTTAATAATTAAATAATTTAATAGATTCAGATTTCAAATTTCAATCTTATCAAAATCACTCTAGTCCCACTAGTCTCAAAAGCCAGAACCGAAATGCATGCTAATACAAGCATATACTGTTACAGCTGTTTGAAATCAATTCAACTCTTAACATTAGTCTTTCTTCCACATTCGGGGGGTCTATGTGCAGAATTCGATAGATTGATGGAGACCGGATAGTGTTTTGGTCAAGAATGGCTGGTGGAAGATCCCTTTTCTTGTTCTTTAATTCAAGCTTTAGCCTTTAACGGGCAATGTTTTAGTTGGGAGAAGATTTCATTCACAATGCTCCCTTTTTTATGTGTGAGTAACTCTGTTCAGATTTTGGGACCTGAACAATTTTGGGCTAATTAATATACGTCACAAGAACATTTTCATATTCTCTTGTGGTTAAATTTAATAATATTATACACAGCTAATGAATTGAAAACGATTTTACGGAGTTATACTTATCTATTAGGTAGACCAACAAACGAATCTCGCAAACCAACTTTTTAGCAGCGAAACTACCTCAATATTGGCTGGCTGAGCTCAAGCAATTTAACCAAAGTATCAAATCAAGTAGTTTGATTAAGAAAATACTCTTAAACCTCATGATATGTAGGCAAATTTTTTAACATTATTATTGATCGTCTATTTTAAATTTCTTCAAAAAAAATATTATAATTAATATCTACTTACATATGAGCTCGATCAAATCCGATCTATACAAGTGGAGGTCATCTCCATCTCTTATAATGCAAGGAACTTCCTCAATTTCACTCTCAAATTTTAGTGTTGCATGAGGAGAAATATTAGCAAGTATTTCTCTTGTGGAATATTCAATTATTAGACAAACAAACGGAGCAAGAAAGAAAAGATTAACAAGTAACAACGTAATGGTGATAGTAGTGTAGGAATTACGAGAAAGTTACATCTCGGTTTGGTAAAAGCAAAGAATTTTTTTTATTCATTACTTTATGGTTTTTGAATGAATTATTTCACTCTCATTTTGTAGTTAAGAAGCACCAGTGCCAGCACTGTCCACTAAGAAAGGGACCCTACCCCTAGACCCTTTTTTTTAATTTAAAAAATTTTCGCATTCCATAAGGTAACACTTTCTTGGAATTTTCGAGAGAACTAGGAGGCATAAACCGTGCTACGCACGGTGGGAAAAAGGATGGAGATGCCCAATTTAATAAAATAATTTGTACTAATTCAAAATGGATAATTAATGAAATTTGTTTTTCTTGATGGAATTAGTTACAAATAAACCAAAAAAAATATTAAACCAAAATTAGAGTAAACTTTCATTTAAGTATGTAATCATATAAAAAATAGTAAGTGTCATTCTCATTAAAGAATCAAAATATTATAAGACTCCGTCTAAGTTGTCATCTGCCCTTGCTATTTCAAGGTTAGGTTGCATTATAATTTAATTACGAGTTCAATTAATTTCCTAATAATGTAGCTACTTAAAACTTATAAGCATCATTAGGGGTTATATTTTACTATCTTTCCATGCTCTCAGATCATTCCCAAAATTAGAAAAAAAAAAGGAAAAGTGAAGGAGGAGAGTTAATAGAGCGGTAAGCAGGAAAATGCAAAATAGTAAGGGCCAAAATGAGTAAGAAAATAAATGAATTTGACTTTATATTATTGATAGAAACAAAATACTTCATCCCATTTAACCTTAAACAAAGGTATAACAACCGCATAATCAATGTTTCAATTCATATCAACCTACAATAAGTTTCCTCACTTATTAACTTACAAATTGCATACAACAAATCTTAAACCTGAATAACATCCACCATACTCATGGTTAACTAAGTACTATGGCTGATATCAAAGCCCGTACATAAATAAGATAATATCACATTTGTGAAACACTATGGCTGGGGCCTTGCTTAAAAGAAGTAATAACAACCAGGAATTGCCGAGAATCCAGCCAAGCAAACTTATTGAAATGTTTGACAGCAATCTAAGAGCCGTCATCTTCAAGCTGCCCTTTGTAGACAAACATCGGGAGCTTTATCTCCTTGTTCTGATACAATGTATTCAACTGAGAATCCTGTAGTCGCCACCTTCAGCTAATGTAAACTGCATTCTTTAAATGATGGCAGTTTCATAGTCTCATTTTCTCCACATTGCTCTAAAACCCCAGAAGAAAAAAATCAGAAAAGGGAAACAAATATTACATTTTTATACATTTAACAGAGTTTTAAGAATTACCAAAATCAAAGGAACAAGCGATGTTGGATTTGAGGTTAGAAGGCCACCAGCAAAAGCCTAATTTAGAGCAGCGAGCTCCCATTGGAATGAAGACGAATAATACTGAAAAACGAATCTGGCAATCAGGTCAAGAAAACAGACATAAAGA